AAAAGGAAATAGGGTATTTCAGGTCTCAGCGCCAGTGGTCTGGTTTGATTAATCTGCGATCACAATGATAAATCCACCCACTGGAATCGCCACCGTGATAGCCAGGAAAACACAGAATCGCCTCAGCCAGGCAAAGTTACTTCTGCGCAGAAGGGTGCGGCCATCAGTCAGAGATCAGGCCAGCAAGCAACCAGTCAGAGATCAGGCCAGCAAGCGACTCAGAGCAGGCTGGCTGGCCCCCCCTATTTATCCCTGATGCAGCAGGCCCCGCCCCTCTGCTCGGATTCGCTGAGCTCAGATTCACAGTCTGCTCCTGATTGGCTGGTTTGAGTAAGGTCAAACACAGGTACATAGGTTATCCCTCATGCAGCAGGCCCTGCCCCTCTGCTCGGATTGGCTGAGCTCAGGTTCCGTCCGCTTGCAAATGGCTAGTGTGAATAGGCTCAAACACAGTTATATAAGCTGATTGAAGATGAACAGTTCACAAGTCATCTCAAGATATACCCTTCTTTACCCTCGGCTCCTGCGTGAGCAGTCTGGTAGTATGTTGTAATTCCACACACACACACACACCCCACACCCCCACTTCACACCCCCTGTAAGACAAAAACCTTCCAGTTTGTAAATCCTTATCCCAAGCCGGTTCCTCTTTTTCCCTAACAAGATCCCACCCACGGGGCCAATTGTTCACGTCACTGCTGGGTGACAGTGGCTTGCGTGACAGCCTCTCTGGGCTTGGCCTCAGACCCTCAAAGACACCCAGTGATCTGTCGCTCAAAGGCCCTTTGCCACCTGGGGTCAGGACCCTGACAACAATAAGGCTCCCGCAAGCGCCATACCGATCTCCCAGCAATCCTCCCTCCCCCAAGAAAAAGCCAGAAGTGGAGCTCACGTGCAGAAATGAGGCCCCAGAAGCTCCCCCCCCGGGTCCCCCAGTTCTGACGGACCCCGTGCCGCGTCTTTGTCCAGCTCTGTGTCGAGCCTCGGCCACACATTGGTGGAATCGGCGCTCACCAGGCCTTCCCTGCCTAGCCCTCACCAGACCTCGCCCAGGTACGCACCTGCCCCCCCACCCCCTACCCATACCCCGCGTTTACCAGCCCCTCCACTCAAGGGCCCAAAGATGGGGGCTGGGAAGGTGGCTCCATGGTAGAGCGCTCGCCTAGCATGGACGAAGGCCCTGGGTTCGATTCCTCCACACCCCATCCCCAGAAAAAAGCCGGAAGCAGTGAAAGGGGTAGAGCACCCGCCCAGGCCCCGAGTTCAAACCCCAGGACTAGCAGTACCAAAAAATAAAAAGTGGGGTGACAAAGATGAGGAACTTGGGGTGAGGGTCCTGGGGGGAATCAGGTGACTTCAGCCTTGAAGACCTGGCTAGAGGCAGCATCAGGCCCTTCTGGCTTCTAGTACCTTCCCTGACCTGGGGGGGGGGAGCTTTTAAATCATCCCGGTCCCCAGCCTGTCACTGATACCCTGGGCTCGGCTCTTCGGCCGGCCGTGTTTGATAGAGAACGAAGCCTCAGGGAATCAATGGGCCCTGTGTTCTCAGTGCCAAAATGGTGGACAGAAGGCGGCATTGTCCCCCTGCTTCTGAACCCCGTCTTCTGTCATCGGAGCTGCGCTTGGGCGGTCAGCTCCAGTTACAGTGCGCCCAGACCCACTTCCTTTGAATTTTATCTTTTGGGGGTCCTGGGGCTTAATAAACTCAGGGCCTGGGCGCTGTCCCTGAGCTTCATTTTGCTCAAGGCCGGGCGCTCTACCACTTGAGCCACAGCGCCACCTCTGGCCTTTTCTGTGGACGTGGTACTGAGGAATCGAACCCAGGGCTTTGTGCATGCGAGGCGAGCACTCTAACCACTGAGCCACCTTCCCAGCTGTTGTCTTCAGCTGTTCACGACCTCCTCTCTCTGCCTTCCACCTTCACCCCAGGTTCTCAGACTCCCCAGAGCACAAAGGCTGGCAGGCCCAGGTGGCAGAGATCAAGGCCCTGTGGCAGGCCACCGAAGTGGAGCGCGATCGGCTCCAGGAGTTTGTGACCGTCCTGCAGAAACGGTAATCAAGGGACACCCTGCGAGCTCTCCATCCTGGGCCCCGGCTGGGGGATACAGGGCTGATGGCTCACGCCTGTCATCCCAGCTACTCAGGAGGTTGAGATCTGAGGATCATGGTTCAAAGCCAGCCCGGGCAAGGAAAGTCCGTGAGACTCTGATCTCCAATGGACCACCAGAAAACCAGAAGTGGCGCTGTGGCTCAAGTGGTAGAGCGCTCGCCTTGGGCTGAAGAACTCAGGGACAGCACCGAAGCCCAGAGTTCAAGCCCCACGACCAACAACAACAACAAAAAAGCCAAACAAGAGCTCAAGGCCCTGAGTTCAAGCCCCAGGACTGGCACAAAACAAAACCACAAGAACACAAGCAAAAACACAAGAGCACTGCGGGAAAGCTGCTTTGCTCCAAAGGATGCTGACCTCTCTGCCAAAATAAATCAGGGCTCCTTGCTCAAGTGACCTTCTTGGCAAGAAATGCAGGTTCCCAGACCAGCATGTGGCTCAGCCATGTGACACCCTCCCTGGGTTAAAAAAAAAAACAAAAATACAAAGGACACTGCTGAGAGTCACCAGGATCAAGTATCCGGTGGAACTCTTTGAAGATTGGAGAAACCAGTTCTGCCCAATTAAGTGGAAGGGAGATGTGGGGTTTGTTTTGTTTTGTTTTGTTTTGTGTTTGTTTCCACAAGTCCAAGGGTCAGAGCAAGACAAGAGCAACAGAGCGCCTTGTAGCAAGAACTCTTAGGCTGGGCGTCTGGTGGCTCACATCGGTCATCCATCCTTAGCTACCCAGGAGGCTGAGAGCCGAGGATCACAGTTCGAAGCCAGCCCAGGGCTGGAAAAGTCCATGAGACTCTTATTTCCAATAGAACCAGCCAAAAAGGCTGAGGTGGAGGCGTGGCTCAAGTGGTAGAGCACCAGCCTTGAGTGGAAAAGAAAAACTCAGAGCTGGGCAGGTGGTTCAGAAGTTAGAGTGCTCGCCTAGCATGCATGAAGCCCTGGGTTCGATTCCTCAGCACCACGTATACAGAAAAAGCCAGATGTGGCGCTGTGGCTCAAGTGGTAGAGCGCCCACCCAGAAGCTCAGGGACAGCGCTCAGGCCCTGAGTTCAAGCCCCAGGACTGACAAAAAAAAGAAAAGCTGCAACTTCTTCCCGTTCGCTGCTGCATCTCCACTGAGTCACAGCAGCCTTCTATTTCTGGTTTTCAGTTTTCAGCCTGTAATAAATTTTTAAGCGAGGTTATACATTATGCATCATCCTTTGCTACTCAGCAAATTTGCTCAGATCAGACTTGCTATTCGTGCCAGTACGAATTCTTTTTTTTTTTGTTTCTTTTGTCAGTTGTGGGGCTTGAACTCTGGGCCCGGGCACCGTCTCTGAGCTCTTCAGCTCCTCAGTACCACAGTCACAGAAAAAAAAAACAGAAGCGGCGCCGTGGCTCAAGTGGTAGAGCACCAGACTTGAGCACAAAGAAGCTCAGGGATGGCTCCCAGGCGCTGGGTTCAAGTCCCAGGACTGGCACTGGCACAAAGAAAGAAAGAAAAAGGAAATAGGGTATTTCAGGTCTCAGCGCCAAGTAATTGTCCAAATGTCTCCCCCTGGGGACGGCGGGATGGTCTTGTGATCATGTGCTCTGTGCTGCCTGCCACTGGGTCTGTGAGCACTTGATTTTACCGAGCAAAGAGGATTTGTGCAGATGGACCCATCGTGACGGACGCTAACGTAGAGGGGGAGGTGATCCGGGATTAGCAGGTGGCCTCCATCTGTGGGCACGGGGCCCTAAAAGCAGAGGGGTGTGCCGATAGCGGGCGATGCAGAGACCAGGCCTGGAGACCGAGTCAGGGCCAGCCTGCCTTTTCTTTAGCCACAATCCAGAGGATCGTGGTCTGAGCTCAGCAGAAAAGGAAGATCGCAGTCCACTCCCCCAGGACCTCCAGTGGGCTTGGAAACTCCCCTCTTCCCCCTTCGCCCCCCCCAAAACCCCCAGATTTTTGTCGTTGTGGTCTTTTTAAACTCGGGGTTCCTGTGTGACCCACACGAACAAACCAACAAGCAAGCGAATGAGAGCCAGCCTCAAATCGTGATCCTCCCCCCTCTGCCTCCCTGGTAGCCGGGCACTGTGGCAGTGAGCTAGCTGCCTGGATTGGGGAGGGGGGCACAGGGCCGCGCCCCCAACCTGGCCCTGCAGCTCCCCACTGTAAACCGCCCAGGGTGGAGGAGAGCAGCAGCAGACTCCTGGAGGCTGAGCGGAGGCTCCAGGAGGAGAGGCAACGCGCCGTGGTCCTAGAGCAGAGGCTGGAGAAGACCCGCCTGGAGTCCGGCCGGACCCCACAGAAAGCCTCCAGGAACAAAGCAGGTATGGAGGCCCCTGGGAGGAAGGGGGTAAGGGGGTGGGGAGGAGATGCCAGCCCTGGGACTTGAACTCAGGGCCTGCGCTCTGTCCCTTTGGCTCAAGGCTGGCGCTCAACCCCTTGAGCCACAGCAGAAAAGGAAAACAGAAAGCCCTGGTTGGAGGTGGGGTAGGAGTGCGGGTGGGGGTTCTGGCCTCGTGGCACAAAGTGGCTGCCGTGGCCCCGCAGGTGCACCTGCCTCCACCACCAAACACAACCCAGCTAGCAGCGAGAGGAAAGACCTGTCTTCTGCCACCGAGCTCTCGGATGTACCAGCGGAATCCCAGATCCAGGAACTGACCACCAGGTACCAACCCTTCCTCCCCACTGTGCCCCCCCCCCCCGCTTCCTGAAAGGGCAGAGGTATTTGGGAAGGGGTGGGCAGTAGTGTTCCTGGAACCTTTTGTATCTATTTTGTGCAGAAGGCTGGTCTTACAGGGGGGTGTGGTGGGGGCAGGGTTTTGTCTTTGGTTTTTTGGTCCATTGTGGGGCTTGAACTCTGGGCCTGGGCGCTGTCCCTGAGCTTCTCTGTGCTCAAGGCTGGTGCTCTACCACGTGAGCCACAGCACCACTTGGGACTTTTTCCATGCCTGTGGCCCCGAGGAATCAAACCCGGGGCTTCCGAGCCGCCTTCCCAGCCCCACTCAGGCCTCTCTGGCGACCCGTGATGTAGGCTGGCCATCCTGGCGGAGGAGAACGAGATGCTGAGGGCGGCGCTGGGCAGCGCCCTGCGGGGCAAGGAGGAGGACTTCCGCGTGTACCACGAGACGCTGGGCCAGGTCAAGGGCGTCTTCCTGCAGGCCCTGAGGCAGCAGAAGGCCGAGAGGAGCTAGGCCCGGCCCCAGGGCCCAGGACTAGAGGCCACGCCCCCAGCCCCAGGGGCGGGACAAGCCCCCAGGCCTGGCCCCCCACTGGACGCTGGAACTGTCCATCATCCAGTAGACTTGATTCCCTCCCCCAGGGGCCTACAGGAGAGCCCTTAGTGTCCAGGGCTGGGAACTTGGCCTTGCAGCTGGTACGCCCCCCCCACCAAGCCCAGCCCTGCCCTGCCCACCCACTGGCCAGCCCACACCCTCACACACCTCCCTCCCCCCCCCCAACCTCTGCCAGACTTGTAATAATAATGGCGATTTTCCTAACCCACTCTGGATCACTGTGGGTGGGAAGGGGCCTGGGGGTGAGGGTAGCGCAGGGGGGTTGGGAGTGAGGGGGTCCTCACAGGGGGGGATCCCAGCCTCAAAATGAAGCTGGGCCGGAGCCGAGCACCGGCAGCTCCCACCTGTCATCCTAGCGGCTCAGGAGGCTGAGGGCGGAGGATGGTGATCTGAGGCCAGCCCGGGCAGGGAAAGCCCGTGAGGCGCTTACCTGCCATAGTAGAAAGAAAGAGAAGAGGGGCTGGGAAGGTGGCTCAGTGGTAGAGTGCTTGCCTTGCATGCATGAGGCCCTGGGTTCGATTCCTCAGCACCACATA